TCAGATCATTCAACCTCAGTGTTCCTGAAAAACACAAATGTCACACCAACTGAAGTCAGTAATTAAACATCATCTCGATCATCTCAAGTGAGCAGTAGGAATGTGAACGTACTTATTGATATCTCTAACACTCTACTGAAAATGTAATCTCATCAGAATTTAAAGCAAGGGGTATTATTGGGGATTTTGTTTGTGTTTGTGTCCACGGCAGTAACCCAAACAAGATGATCTATGAAAAATATAAAAAGCACGCAGCAGAAAACCATGTTCTCTGACTTTTCATTTATTCTTTGATTCCCCATCATGCCCTGCAAGGGTACCGCTGTGTTATGTGGTGTAATAATCACAGCTCAGTTTGGTTTAATTCTCTTCTCAAAAGAAACATGAGTTTAACTAAATATATTTCACAAACCATCAATACACAATACTATAAATTCTGCAACTTGCCTGCTCTGTATGCAAAACAAAATGCCCTTAAGACACACAGATCTGCTTAATACGTTATTCCATTTTGCCATTATTCCTGAAGCCCAATAAATACATTTACAAACTCCTCTCTTACTTCTAATCAATATCATACATAATACAAACCTAATTTCTTATCAGGAAACTCCTTCTCCCGTCTACTATATAATCTACACTGACCTAAAATCATTTCACTCCATTGGCTGAGGAAACAACCGCGTATTTAAACACATGCTCTTTACTCAGTTATAAAAAGCAACATTCAAATAAGCAGCTTTGGACAAACTTACAAAAATACTGTTGACGGTTTTTAAGACGTCTAGCTGTCAGCCCCGGGGACACAAGGTTCATTAAACCAGCTGCAGCAAAAGTGGATTCATCCAATAAAGAGTGTGCCAATCTCATATATTCTCTTACCTTTTGTTTTTCGTGAAGCATTTACCCGTAGGGATGTGTATCGTTAGGATGTGATCCATACTGCTCATCGATTTATTTTAATTAGGGTGCAAAAAGAGAAAAACAAAGAACAGAATTAACATAAATGTGGAAGGATTTACTGCTTGGCTGGTTGATCTCAGCCTCAATGTATACAAGAATTTCAATACCCAGCCCTACTCAACACCTCCCAAAGTGTGCGTAAGGCCAACACTTTTCCTTTTCCACACAAGCATCTTGTGATTTACCAATTTCATTCACATTGTTAAAAAGGCAGGGAAACTATTTGTGATATCTACCAAATGACACCCACAAAGGTGTTGATCATGAGGCATTATTGATAACAATTATGCGAGAGCCTTTGACGGTGGACTGACAAAACAAACTTCTCCCAGCCTGCCCTGAAAGCCTATTCAACCGTATGTTTTTGTGGCGTTTACACAGTAAACACAGCTCTGTTTTCATGTTTTCAGCATCAAATCAAACAAATAATCGGGCAGGGCAGTGGGAGAGGCTGCTCAATCACAGCAGTGCCAGTTGGATTGAATAAACCTCGTCAGTCTCTCTCATCAGTACATCACCAATCTGCCTACAGATTCAAATAGCAATCCAAAACTAAATTATAATGCACCCCGAAGCCAAGGCTTGTTTAAAATGCAGTTTAGCGCGAGAGGGAAACATGATTACGTATATCTGGCTCCGAACCAGGACTGGTTTCATATTTTCATTCACAAAGTATAAAATAAATGACCTTGTGTCTTTTTTTGCTCCGATCAGCAGATGAGCATGTCTGGATTAAAAGTATTTTTGAGCGCAGGGATTATCAATCCAATTCTTTAGAGTGCATTTACGAAAATAACAGCATTTTGGGTAGAAATCATCAGGAGATCATCTTCCTGGCGAGCATAAGATTTTACTCACCACGAGCATCAGCATGTTTCGGCTAGAATATGGGGAAAAAAAATGTCTTTCGCTGAGCTTTTTCTGATCCTCGAGGTAAAATGTGGAGCAATGTTAGTTAGTGCAGAAAAACAAAATGTCTTGTCTGCATTAGCACTGCAGCTCGTTTCTTTCATTTCCATACAGAGACGATTAACCACGTATTCGTCATGGAAAATGTTGGAAAGTTCACCAGGTTTAAAAATCCTCAGACAGCTCAAGAGATTGGATTCAAATGCGAGAGGACCTGAAATTGTACGTTGTCAAAATCCTACATGACAGATTCATCTTTCTCTCCCTGTGAGTTTATGTGGAGCTTACAAGTCAACATCTGCTTTATTCCTTTACCCCAAATATATGAGACCAGGATTCTCCGCTACTTCAACCTGCAAATACCATAATAAGCCTGCTGTACTCTTATGATCTACATCCATTTTAATGACAACTTGACTGTTAAAATGAGATGCTGTCACAGAACTGAGCCCTTAAAGAGAATAAGAGAGCATTAGATGTGAACACCGATCCTGTCTTTTTCTGCAGAGGTAGCACACAACTGTCGAGCCTCACCCAGGGGGGGCTGATAACACGCAGCTGAAGTGCTGAAGCAAGCTCCCTGTTACACTCTCAGCATGTTTTTAACGTCGGCGGTGACAGCAACGCACAAAACAACTCCTCCCCGATAACATCTCGGCAATAGCACTGGCTCAATTTTCTGACAACAGGTCAGGGCCTCCATTATTCAATTTAGATGAGTAGATGTAGCGGTAATGATGCACAGACAGCACGTTGGAGACAGGAACCAATTATGTCAACAATTATGACCAACAGTTCTCGTTGCATGCTTTTTTTCTGTGTACATTTTCTACCAGGAACGTTAAGATCAGAGACTGAACCGGGGATACATTGCAGAAGAAGTGGGGGGGGGAAGTGGAACTACAAGCCCAAAGTAAGAAGATAACACTGCAAAAATAGGGAATCGCACCTTCTTTGTTACTAGAAATGACAAAATGTATCCCTCATGACATAAAGAAAAATGTCAACTTATCCACCTGCCATCTTCCTTGCTGAATTGTTCACCAGAAATTACAGCAGGATGAAAAAAAAAAACAATCCAAAACATTGTTTCAGATGTGCACCTTGTATACGTATGGATAATATTGCTTTAACACTGGAAAATATGGAATATTTATATAGAAAATATCCAAAACAATAGAAACAGTTTACATTTACATTTTGTTACTTTTTTATGAAACCACTTATTTACCCACGAGCTATAAGCTAGACCCTCCCCATCCCCTTTGGCACAATAATCATATTAATATTCATTGTTATTATATTGTAGATTTACAAGACATTTGAATAGGAATGGTCACTCACACATTCAGAGTAGTAACACAGTTTCTGTAGTCGTAACATATATTGGTACTGTATGATGTCATAACATAGTTCAAAAACATCTCTTTTTTTCATTTTTTTTTTTCACCGATGTTGATATGTAAATAAATTGACTTTCATCTGAAACAAAACAGAACGGTCTTTGCATGCCCTTGTTATTTACAGAATCCCTTTGTCTGCGTTTCTTCTTGCTGGCTACTGTAGAGCAGAGATACTACACTCACAAGGAGAAATCAGACCATGGACTGCATCTGCATCAGTCAGCAGAAAACATGGAGATCAAGATGGACAATAACACACAGGAAACATAATGAAGTACTGATTTTTGGTTCAATACCAACAGTCCAATTATCTTGAATCGAGTCAGATTAACTAATCCATGTCTTCGCTGCAGATAACATTCCTTGTATAAAATGTCTAAAAACAACTCTTGTTAGTTCTTTGCTATGCTGAGGGCTTTTCCTCTGTGGAGGGAGCTGTCACCAGGCCAGGGCCCCATTTCTCAAAAGCATCTTAGTGAAGGCATTTCACTCTGTTTTTGGCACATGTAAGTACAATATATTCCATTTAAAGGCAAACATTTTAACCAGAATCTTAAATGGTAAAATTAGATATTTCAGGTTTTGCAGTCTTTTGCAAGTTTTGTTCTGTTTACTCATCTGCACAGACATTTATGATTGGAATATTGCATTTGCAATGATATACTACTATTGTTATAATACCTTTTAGATCAAATATGATTACCACTCCTAACATTTTTCCAAATCTAGGAAGTCTGACATTTGGGATTGGTCTCGTGAGGCCAGTTCTTACTTTAAAGCAGCAGATCGACATTTTAGCAGCTCACTGATTGGCTTTCGTGCTGAGAATGAGACGAGAAGATCGACATCACTCTCATTGTCTGTTCGTTCAGTATGAACTTCTTTTGTTGTTCTGCCCACTCTTTGTCTGAAAAGAGTGGAGAAGTTCAAAAAGGTATCTTCACCTGTGCAACAGGTGACCCTGGGATAAACTCTCCCAGCTTGAATCCATCAACTAACATAAGAGATGGTGGTAATGCGGATTAATCCCATTCAAAGCACTGTCTTTGATGAAGCAGACAGTTGTGTCCCGCCGACACATTGTACAGAGAAAATGTCATGACTGGGATCCAGCTGAGCCTTACATTACGCTTTGTCAAATGTCACACACTAACAATACGCTTTGAGGTCAGATTTCTGCCAATAATCCATCTGAACAAGATTTAACGACTAAGATGTTTGAGGAAAAACATGCTCTGGTCTTGTTAATCCCTACTCCCCCTCTTTCTCGAGTCACGGACAGAGTGGTACAAAAGGTTTTGGTCCCAACTGCTTCAGGAATCATGTAGAAAATATACATTCAAACCTCTGAAGAAAACTAACTGGAAGAGTAGAAAATACTGAAATACTGGCAGGATAAAAGAAAGCGGCGAGAGACAGACAGACTGACAAAAAGAAGGCTATGTAGAGGGAAAAGATTGTGGAGATGGATAAATGGAAAAGGATGCTTTTGTGAGAAAGTTCTTCAGAGTAACATACAGTCTGGTATGTTAACACAATGCACTCTTGTCAGAAGCATGACGGATTTTATCACCAAAGAAAAATCCAGAACCTCTCTTATATTTACAGTGTTTTCCCTTACATTGTATTTGTCTGTGTGTGCTCACTCCTATGTGTGTGTATGTGTATCAGCAAATATATATATATATATATATATATATATATATATATATATTTATATATATATATATATATGTGTGTGTGTGTGCCCTTGATAGCCTTTGTTAAGTCCATACAGGCTTAAGGAGTCTTAAGGAGAAGATACAGTAAAAACATACTCACACACACACACGCATCAAACACACACACACACACACAAACACACACACACAATCTCTAATTAGTTGATAGCCATGTTACCTTAAGGCCACTACCCAAACCTAAATGACACGTAGCTCTAGACCTTCGAGAATGATTTGTGACTTTACAGACACCAAAACATTGCAAAGTCATAGTGGCCCCTTTTTGCAGTTCTTCACGCCCCACTTGAGAGAAACTGCACTAGGATCTCACTGGAAACATGTAAACACAAACACAGCAGACTGTCACAGCTTGATGTCTTCACCGACCAGCCCTCAACGACTCCTTTGCTTCAGGTTTTTACTCCACGTAGGGACGAATGGATTTCATCTTTCCATCCTCCCGTACTCTTCACTCATATTCACCGTGTTGTTTTTGAGCGGTCCCCTTCACATCTGCAATTTCTTTACGCGTCTTCTCTGCCTCACAGTGAGGATGAACTCTGGCTGTAGTTTCCGAGTGTCAGTCTGCTGTACCTTGGCGAAGGGGGAGAGGGGGGAGGATGGGATGGGACTGGGGGGAGACACAGATCTGTCTCTGAGATAACTGAGCCACTACTAGATGCCAGGGAGTCGCGGAAAGGCGAGGGCGGAGTCAAAGCAATAAGCTCCTCTTCCAACTCTCCCATCCTCAGAGGGGAGTTATTGAGGCAGGTGATCAGGCCACCTCGCATGGGGGAGAGAGACGGGGAGGTCTGGGCGTGAGGAGGCGGCAGGGGGTAAGGTGAATGAGGGATCGGGTGAACGAGACAGCCACTCCGGCCCCCCATGCTGGACTCGACAGGTGGGAGGGGCTGGACGTCGGCGTAGGTTGTGAGGGTCTGGGCCATCTGGACTTCACGGGGCAGCAGGTACGGGTCGGCGGGGTGAGGAGATGGAGGCGTGTGTTTGTGCGTGTGCGAGTGCGTCGGAGAGGGGTACAGCATCATGCTGTTGAGCTCGCTGATGTTGGCGGTGAAGCGGTTCACCACGCAGCTGATCTGATCCATCAGTGAACTCTGACCCGGTCCCGGGTGATCGTCCACAACAACCAAACGGCCGTCACTCCCCATGACGAGAGAGCCGCTGCTGGCAGGACCGCAACTGCTGCCGCTGCCGCTGCCGCCGCTGCAAATGCTGCTCGGGTAGTTTGGAATACCGGTCATCATCGGGGGCTCCTCCCCGACACCCGCCCCTAGCCTCTGGCTGACCGTACTGATCGGCGAGGGCGTCTGCGGCCGGTATGTGATGGAGTAGCGCTCCTCGGCTTCAGAGAGATCATACAGGGTCTTGTCTGAGTCGGGATGAATGGACAGTGAGGACATGGAGGGAAGGGAGGGCAGAGGGATATGTGGAGGCAGGTCCCCCCCTCCACAGTAACGCTCCTCCGAAGTTTTGGAGAAGGGCTTGATGACCGCAGTCTGATTGTTCTCCTTCCTCTTGATATGGAAGGACAGCCGTTGCCACAGGTGGTTCCCACGTGAGCCGCTGCGCTCTGTCTGCGCCCAAGACACTGATTTACCATTGGAGCTGGAGAGCCGGGAGGAAGTGGAAGGAAAAGAGAGAAAAGAAAGAGGGGGTTGTTCATAAAGCATGGAGGTGGATTCACCACCTTCAGTTCATTTGTAGTTTATTGATTTTTTTTTTTTGTCAGGAAAAATGTCTGATTAGAGATAAAATGAGAAGGTTCACACGTTTATTCCATTTTCTTCAGCAAAAAGTGAATTTGTTTTAGTTGAATCATTGTGTTTAACGTTTTGTTTAGGTTCGGGTGTTAGTTTAACAACAGCATGTCTAAATGACAAAAGGAGCATTGAACATTATATTTTAAACATTTCTTACATTTCTCTTGTCTGGCAACTGAATGTGGGTATTATATGCATACTCAACAGTAATTACTTTCAAATAAAATATACAGTTTTTCTTTGATATTCTAGTCAGAGGACTTGTTTTTGTGTCACATCATATGGCATCCCAAACATAGATGTGGAATTCCTTACTAACTTAATTAAGTTATTTTATTGTCATTAGGAACTTGTAGTTTTTAAATTTTACTTTAATACTTGTTTTCCCAATAAATGTAAATTTAGTGTGTTGTTCATTATTGTTCTTCATTATTCTTAATCGAAAATCTAAAGGCACCTGTTAGTAATTAGTTAGTATTATGAGTGAAAACACTGTCACGATTAAATTTGGATGAAGGTAAAAAATCTTCACTACAATAAAACCAATCAAGACAAAAACATTACATCAACTGTGGCTGCTCCATTTTAGTCGTTATTTATTATCCTACATGAACAATGACATTTAATAGATACAAACATATTTAATTGAGGCCTTGACTCAACCAATTGGACTACAAAAGGCCTTAAGAGTAATTCCATTACAGTTAACTTCTCCTTCTATTTTTTCCAGACAATATGTACTTCATTTGTCTTTGTCGGGTTGTCTCTTCCTCTCTCTCTGTTGCTCCCTCTATCTTACAATTTCCTCCACTTTCCTCTGCTTCACATCAGTCACAGCACTGTCCCCTGCCTCCCCCCACTTTCCTTCCTCTCATCCCTTTGTCAGGTTAATTAGTGTGATTAATCTATAGTGGAACTTCTGATTAAACCTCACACGACCGTGGCTGGGGGTGAAAAGAACTCAAATCACCCTGGGGACACACACACACACACACACACACACACACACACACACACACACACA